TGACCTAGGGTGAATTTTAAATAGGGAATAATTTTTAAAAATTTTCAAAGATTTTAAATATGACACAGCTATTAATATATTTGCTTTTTAATTGGTTTTATAGGGGAAATGTTTTTTGTGTTGTTTTTTAACATGCTGTGAGCCGCCCTGAGTCCCTCTGGGGAGAAGGGCGGCATAGAAGTTTAAAAATAAATAAAAATAAAATAAAAATCCATCATACGCTGTATTGTATTGGCTAGAATATATTGATTTAGATATAAGTATATTACAGCCTCTGGTATGTGTCAGTCAGGGCAACTACCTAGTGATGGACAAAAGCACATTGGTAGAGCAAAATTAGACAAATCCAGTTTAGAAGGGTCCTAGTGCAGTCCTCTAAGGCAGTCCCGATTGTATAGGTCAGGGGTAGGCAACCTTGGCTTTTATGACTCATGGACTTCAACTCCCATAATTCCTGAGCTAGCCATGCTGAGGGGAAAGGGAGAGGTTTCCAAGCTGAGCCCTGCTGGCTCAGGAATTCTGGGAGTTGAAGTCCATGAGTCATAAAAGAGCCAAGGTTGCCTACCCCTGATATAGGTAGTCTTTGACTTACAAGCTTGTTTAGTGACTGTTCAAAATTACAACAGCATTGAAGTGACTTATGATCGTTTTTCACACTTACCACCATTGCAGCATCCCCATGGTCACGTGATCAAAACGCAGACACTTGGTAACTGCCTCATATTTATGACGGTTGCAGTGTCCCGGGGTCATGTGATCACCCTTTTGCGAATCTTTTACAGGCAAAGTCAATGGGGAAGCTGTGTTACTAACAACTACAGTGATTCACTTGACAACTATGGCAAGGTCGTAAAATGGGGCAAAACTCACTTAACTGTCTCATTTAGCAATGGAAATTTTGGGCTCAATCGTGGTTGTAAGTCAAGGAATACCTATAAGAATAACTTTTGAGGAACAGGAGGAAGAGATGCAATAAATAATGGTCAGCTAAGAGAAATCTGAATCCAGGGCAGAAACGTAATTCGAAAAAGTATCTCTGACTTGAGTGTCTCCCTCATTCTCTGTGGACTATTGTAAAGACAAAGGAGTGGAAGGTACATTCAGACATGCAAGATTGTTACTTCAGCCATATGATAGAAATATTAGCATTCGTAATTTTCATTTCTTAGTCTGGTCAACTTCAAACGGCTGTTAGTGATTTAGGTTACGAGTGTGACAGTCCAGCAGACCAGTGCATAGTTGACTCAGGATCCATCCATAACATTTCCATTTGCTTAAAAATTGAGCCTATGCAACTTCAGAATAAAAGTGGATAAACGTTGCTGCTTTTGTTCCTATTAATTTGTGAGGTTTTCAGCTGTTTAATTTCCAGTCTGAAGTAATTGGCTACCAAAAACATTTATAGGGCACTAACATTCTTAAAAAATTGGATTATTAGAAAGCCATCACTTCTAAGAATATATTAGGGTCCAAAATTCAGGATGTGACTTGGAAGGTAACAGACATGCTTTCTCTGATCTGGATTTCCAACACTTAGGGATATACTGTCTCTGTCCATGGAGGTTCAGCTTAGCTACGATGGCTAACAATTCTCACAGATTTTCCTGCTCCATTAATCTGTTAAATGTTTGTCAAAATAAATGAACTTTAGGCAGTCATCTCAGTTATGCCCTGCATAACAGCTATTTTACTATATTAATATATACTTCTGTTGTGGAAATGCCAAGATTAAAAGCCTATAACCAAACGTCACCAGCAAACAGGACAAAAACAAAATTTATCTAGCTAAATCATTGATGATTCAGTACAGGTAGTCCTCGACTTACCATCCTTTGTTTAGTGATCAAAGTTATGATGGCACTGAAAAAAATCACGACTGCTGCAGCATCTCCATGATCATGTGATCGAAAATTTGGGTGCTTGGCATTTGACATGTATTTATGACAGTTGTACTGTCCCAGGGTCATGTGATTACCGTTTATAACCGTCTCAGCCAGCTTCTGACGAGCAACGGCAATGGGGGAAGCCAGGTTTGCTTAAGTACAGTGATTTGCTTAACAACTATGGTGGAAAAAATCGCAAAATAGGGCAAAACTGACTTAACAATTGCCTTGCCTAGCGGTGGAAAACTTGGGTTCAAATATGGTTGTTAAGCCAAGGACTACCTGTATATCGACACCAAACACGGCTAAGAATGTTTAATTCTGCAGGAAAAATTCCTTTCTGTTCTCTCCCCAAAGATACCTCTAAAGCAGGTGTTCTCAACCTTTTATTCATTTATTTGTAAAATTTATTAGCCACCCCTCTTGCTGTGCGGTAACTTAAAAAGAACTTCGGAGGAATCTTTGAAATAGTTTCCAGATCTCAGGGGGGAAAATATGAAAACCTCACAGCACTCTTCACTTCCCACTTATAGAATCCATGTTTTACCTTTACAGCATCAGCCAAAGCGGCAGGCCAGCCGCTAACTCGACTCTGGTTAAAAATGCCTGCCACTACGAATGCTAGCACTGCATGGCACATGACATTTTTCAATTGCAAACTAAGGTTATTTATTTATTTAAAAGATTTGTATGGCTGCCCACACCTGAGGAATACATCTCTTGATGTATTAAAAGCCGCAGACTTTTAATCCGTTTAGTGCAATTTTGATCTTGGATGGCAACTTTAGTGTTTTTATTACGACTTTTCAGAAACGTCTATTCTCTACTTTCCATCCTGGTCCATTTTCAGACAGGTGTGCACATACAAACATACTTGTCATTAGCAAAACCTTGTTTCTCTTCCTAGCAAGTAAATGAATTGCAGGTGAAGAGGAATCAGAAGGAAATAATGATGAGGAAAGTTTTGTCACAAATGTTTTACCTTTGTTAATGCATAAGAGAGAATATCAGAAAGCTTTGTATATCGTATTCGGCTGTATTTGAAATTTCCTCAACGTTAAATGAATATCAAAGTCTTTTTCTTAGGCATCATCACAGAAGGATATTGCTTATTTTCTAGAACACCCTGACTTGATGCCTATTTGAGCCATATTAAAGTTATAATCCCCAAAATGACGACGTATCAAAATCTGGTAACTCGACCCGAGGCTTAAAAGATCCAACACAGGAGTTGCTTCAAGTTAAAGATTTATTTTTTCTGGACCTCCAAAATTTCCTGGACAATTCCAACCCAATCAAAAAGAGTTTTCTGTCACGGCTGGGGGTTTCATCTTTTAAAAAAGAAATGGCTTTTGGAACCACAGGTTCACAACTGTTGGTCAAACTGCTCCAGCTTAAAACTTCACATGGACAAAACTTATCCTTCCTGATTTGTAAGTAATCCAGCTCCTACGCAAAAAGCAAGACTAGAATTTCAGAAATGCAAACTTTGATTCGCACCGGGTCTAAGGCAGACCGATGATGCAATTGTGAAAAATGCCAGAGAAATTTAACAATTAAGTCTACACTACAGCTTCAAACCAGTTTTAAATCTATTTGACCCATCAGGGAAGTCTTGGGGTTAATCTGGAAATGACATGGATTCTTTAGGAGAACGGAACTTCAATTGTTTATACTGGTGTAAAATTCTATATGGAACTGAAGTGCAAGAGAAAAAAAAAAACGGCATTAAGGTATCTTAACTTTGGATAGAAAATCAATAAGAATGCTTTTCTAAGCCCACTAAATTCAAACAGAGAGAGGATGGAGAATAAAGCAATAGTTTTGATGTACAAACAAAAGCGGGCCCCACCACGAACACTGAAATTCAGAAGAACGGTGTACAGAAAAATTAAAACCCTATACGCTTGCTATCCACCAGAACTTAAAACATTATATCTAAATATTCTCAAGCTTACAGAAAAAAAGGGGGAATTAGGAGGAACTTTTTATTAAAATGCAAGATGTCATTGGAACGGGAGCCCTTCCTGATACAGTAACATTTGTAGGTCTGTTCTTAAATTAGGCATCTCGCTTGTAACTAACAAAATACCACACCCCAGACCCCAAAAAGGGTTGCCTGCACAGTATTAATCCCCTCCCACCCTGCTTTATATATAGTCTTATATATATATTTATATATATTTATATTTATATATGCATTTATTTATATATAATTTTTTTTTGCAACAAACTCTTATATCAGCACTAGATCTAGTACCAATATGCTAGTATGAATGGGTATAGAAAGGTCTATACCTCTGCCTCTACTACTAAAAAAAAAAAAATGGGATCGAAGGGGCAAAATAAAACTATGACTCCCCCCTCCTCAACATTTCACTGAATTTGTCAGGGGGCATGGGAAGAGGAAGTGCAGTTTAAAGCCAACATTAGTCAAGATGCTAGCAGTAAAAGGGGAAGCGGTTACATTTCTAAGGATGGGATTGAACACACCAGAGACAACAGCTTTTTGCACCCATGTTGTGCTTATAAAGCCGGGGACCCTGTTTCCCCCCCCCCCTATACTAGGCACTCTCTACTTGTGCCCCTGGCTGGGAATTATGGGAGCTTAGTCCAACACGTATGGAGGGCACCGGTAAAATAATGGTTCACCTATGGCAAGGCTGTTTTTTTCCCCCACAACAATTGGTAGCAACAGAGATGTGGACTTTTGTCTCGTGGTGTTTTTATTTATTTCTTCTTTTTTTTTAAACACAAAAAATGTACTTCTCTGGTCCCTTCTGTTCCACATGACTAAATTGCACACTGTTCTTAGATAGCCAAGTAAAAACCTTTCTAGAAAACAATGAAAAGGGGAGGAAGATTCAATCAGAAGTTGCTTTTTTGTACGAAAAAAAAAATATTCATCTCCACACAGCTCACTTTTCTCTTTGGGAGCGTCAGACTTATTTTTTCTTATTTTTCTTTCTTTCTTTTTTTTAAAAAAAACAAACAAACATGTTCATTCACTTCAGATTGAGAAGATTCAATAGAGCTGTTTTATATAAACTGTCCAGTAATTCTTTAAACCAGCAAAGGTCCAGAGCAGAACATCTGTCTGAAACAAGATTCTATTTAAAAAAAAATAAAATGAAAACAAGATGCACATCCTGTGTTCAGTTGCTCCATTTCTTCTGGTGGGTGGCAAGTCCGTCTGCATTTGCTCTTAGTATAAGTTATTACTGGGTTAAAAAGAAAACAAAATGAAACCTCCAAACCAAACACCAAACCCCTGCTGTTGTCCTTTAGAATAGGGCCTCCTCAGGAATTACGGTGGGGTTTAGAGAAAAAACAAGGCCGTGAGGAAGCCGGTCCAAGCTTTCGGATTCATTTTTTTCACTCTCGCTAGGTCCCACTTCTGCTTTCTGTGAACTGGCGAAGTACATCCTTGGTCACGAGGGGCCACTGTATGATCAAAGTAAAATTCAGCTAAGGTAACTAAAAAAAGAGACGGTATGTAAGAAGGGGAAGGACTTGAGACCCGAAGCAACTGAGCATCAGTCTCTTGCACGAGTCCTTGTTCCATACTAGTGCTGATCAAAAAAATAATAATAACAACCCCCAAACTAAAGAGACAAAATACACAGAGAAAATAATAATAATATTAAATTGAGATTCTCCTCGGGGATGGCCTCAACCATTCCCCCCCTCCCCCCCCAAAAATTTTTTTGCAAGAACTTGGTAGCCTAAATGTTCATTACCACCCTTTCGAGCGTCCATTCTATCCAGCAGGAAGCAAAGTGGCCCCTGATGGGGCTGGCAAAACAAAACAAAACAAAACAAAACGTAAAAAATACTTTTCGGCAAACCCCGCAGGCAGATCCAGTTAGACTTGAAAGCGGCTTTTCCACTGCGTGGAGAGATTTCGGGAGGGAAGGATGGCAGAATCAGAAGAAGAAGAAGAAGAAGAAAAAAGCCCAAGAAGATGTCATAGGAAAAAAAAATTGAAGTCTTCCACTCGGGGCGGAGGTTCCTGTGTTATTTCCATGTGGCCGATTGAGGGATGGACCGTGGAGGAATCATATCCAAGAGATACTCGCGCTGGCGATCTACGGCCGAGGAGGAGGTTTTGTGCACGGTGAGACTAGGGTTAACAAAGTTCAACGTCCCTCCTGGAGAAAGGGAACACAAAGGGTGCGTTGAAACGAACTCTAAAGCCAGAGGCCGCTTTCCCATTCTAATAGTGCCTAGGACAGCGTTTCTCAACCGTAGCAGCTTGAAGATGTGTGGACTCCAACTCCCAGAATTCCCCACATCCTCAAGCTGCCAAAATTAAAAAAACACTGATCTAGACCAGGGGTAGGCAACCTTGGCTCTTTTATGACTCGTGGACTTCAACTCCCAGAATTCCTGAGCCAGCCATGCTGAGGGGAAAGGGAGAGGTTTCCAAGCTGAGCCATGCTGGCTCAGGAATTCTGGGAGTTGAAGTCCACGAGTCATAAAAGAGCCAAGGTTGCCCACCCCTGGTCTAGACTCTCTCTCCCCTTTCTGGCCTTCCCCAGATGTTTCAAGGTGGCCATGTCTTAAATTTCCCACGAGGAACTGCATTCTCAATAATACTAAGAAACAGCCAGATTGGGGAAAGGTAAACATCTGGGGACAAAGCCAGCACAGAATAAGTGTGAGGTAAATATTCTTGGGGGAAATCTTAAAATTTGAGTTTGCAAAATACAGTTAAACAAACTTATACAGACAGACAGACACAGATGAAGAAAAGCCAAAGCAAAAAAACACACCCACAAGTATCAAACATCTTCTGCCATTATATGCAGGCAGTCTTTGACTTACGACCATTTTGTTTTAACAACGGTGCAGAGTTACAACGGCCTCGAAAAAAGGGACTTATGACCGGTCTTCAGAGTTACAACTGACACAGCACCCTGGTTGTCACGGGACTGCAATTCGGATGCTTGGCAACTGGCACACATTTACGACCGTTTGCAGCAACGTGCCGTTGTTTAAATGCCATTTGTAACTTTCCAGCTGGCTTCTGACAAGCAAAGTTAATTGGGGAAGCCTGGTGCATTAAATAAATGCACGATTCACTTAACAACCACATGATGACTAGTTTAATATCTGCCATCACTTAGCCAATGGGGATGGAAAGATTCTCCTTGTTGCGATTATGGTGCTGATATGCAAACTATTAAACATTTTGTGCAAGACTGCCCATGACGTACGTTCTCTTGTTCTCTAGGTCTGCATGAAGCAGCCTCAGATGGATGGCTGAATTGGACATCCGGTTATGAGGCCATACCCCCATGGAGGTTTTACTTATAATTATGTGGACTGTGTTTACTTTTCTTGTCAGGTTCTCATCATATGTTAAATAATAATTTAGGCACTCTGGTCCCAATTGTGGTTGTAAGTCGAGGACTATCCGTAATTTAGCTGGAAGAAGAGGTCAAGGACATAATGAATAACAGCTGACCAATCAGGTGGCAGGCAGGAAATCTGAATAGGAGACTGCTGAGAAAACAATGTGATGCTTTCTTGCAAGGCCTCTTTGTATCCACCTACAACCCTGATTGTAGGCCCTGTGCGTTCACCATTTGGGTGGCAAGAAGGTCAAAGGTTGGCCATAGGCTTTTGATCCTCTCCCATTAATTAAGGATGGAAATGGGAGTGGGATGCAAACTATCCCCATTTTCAATTGCTTCCAAACAAACTCAAAATATTTTGGGTTAGGGGTCATTTTAAGCTTGTGGTGAAAACCATTTGTCTCCCCGAAGTCTTAAATCCAGTGGTGGGATTCAGCCAGTTCGCACCAGTTCGGCAGAACCGGTAGCTCATTTTTTGTTGCCCAGGCCCAGAATGGATTTCCGGAAGCGGCATCCACACAGAGAACCAGTTGTTCGCACATTTGAATCCCACCACTGCTTAAATCCCACCATTAAAACTCTGAAAATACTTCCATTCACAGAGGACTCGAAATACAAGTAGTCCTTGACTCACACCCATTTGTTGAGTTTGAAGTTACAATGGCACTGAAAAAAGTGACTTTGGATGTTTTTTTCGCATGACCGTGGCAGTACCCCCACGATCACGTGATCAAAATTTCAGATGCTCGGAAACTGGCTTGTATTTATGACAGTTGCAGTGTCCTGAGGTCATGTGAGCCCCCTTTCACAATCTTCTGAGAAGCAAAGTCAACAGGGAAGCCTGATCCACTTAACAACCGTATTACTAACTTAACAACGGTAATGATTCATTTAAGAACGGAGGCAAGAAACGTCGTAAAAAGGGGCAAAACTTCCTTTTGGGCTCAATTGTGGTCATAGGTTGAGGGCTAAACGATAATAATAATAATGACATCTGAATCCGTTATACTCCCCAAAGCAATAGTTTGTTCAATCGCCCTCCTCCCCACCTCAAAATAAGAGAGGGGAATTCATCACATGACCCCAGGGTGGGTTTTGCTGTTGTCAGAAGAACCCAGAAAAATATACCACTTCTGGGCTTTTTTGTTTTTACAGCGAACAATATAAATTAAATGGACCAAGATTTTATAATTTGTAGCCCTAAGAGAGTCACCAAAAGGACACTGGTATTTCCCAGTATCCCTTTTCAAGGAAGTCATGGGATGGCTCAGAATACATATACAGGTAGTCCTCGACTTATAACAGTTCCTTTAGTGACCGTTCAAAGATACATCATCACTGAAAAAAGTGGCTCATGACCGTTTTTCACACTTAACGACCGTTGCAGCATCCCCCTGGGTCGGGATCCAAATTCAGACACTTGGCAACGGACTCATATTTATGACGGTCGCAGTGTCCCGGGGGTCATGTGATCAGCTTTTGTGACCTTCTGACAAGTGAAGTCAATGGAGAAGCCGGATTCACTTAACAACGGTGTGTTACTAGCTTAACAACTGCGATGATTCGCTTAACCACTGTGGCAAGGAAGGTGGTAAAATGGGGCAAAACTCACTTAATGAATGTCTTGCCTGGCAACAGAAATTTTGAGCTCAACTGTGGTCATGAGTTGAGGACTACCTGTAATATTTCACAACAGTGGAGGGAGGCCTTAGCATAATCATATTGCTTTGAAGTGGTGAATGCACCGAAAGGAAAGGAAGAGAAATAAGTAGAAACACCCTTTTCACCCAGATATATATATATATTTCCTTTCAGAAAAGAACGCTGGCCGGACAAGGGAGTCCGGCCAGCAACGACAAAGACAAGAAGTCTCGAGAGCGAGTCATCTACCTGCGTTGACGGGTGTCTTCTTCCAAGTGTAAGCACCTCCTTTGCCGATGGGTCTCTGAGCACGCTTACCTTGCCTGCCACCAAGTACGGCCACACCGGAGGCGTTCTGCAACTTGGGCGACTGGCTAAATGCATGCAAGACTCCGCGAGGGGTGCTGGCACTTCGGGGCAGCTGGCTGGAGGCCTGAACAATGACCGAGACAAGGAGGAAGAGAAAACAAACCATGAAACTCAAAGGGCTGGAAAGGAGGCTGGTCACATTCTTGGATCACGTAGAGCAGGGGAGGCAACCTTGGCTCTTTTATGACTGGTGGACTTCAACTCCCAGAATTCCTGAGCCAGCTTGGCTCAGCTTGGAAACCTCTCCCTTTCCCCTCAGTATGGCTGGCTCAGGAATTCCTGGGAGTTGAAGTCCACGAGTCATAAAAGAGCCAAGGTTGCCTACCCCTGACGTAGAGCAACGTTTCCCAAGCTTGGGAACTTTTTAAGGTATGTGGATTTCAACTCCCAGAGTTGAAGTTATGCTGGCTGGGGAATTCTGGAAATTGAAGTTCACATACCTTAAAAGTTCCCAAGCTTGGGAAACACTGGCCTAATCAGAATAGAGCTGGATGGGACTTTGGAGTCCAATCCCCTGCTCAAACAGGAGACCCTATACCAGGCATGTCAAACTGCCGGCCCACGGGCCGGATGTGTCACGCTGAAACCGCGCCCATCCCATTGCTGGCAATGGGGGAAAAGTCGCAATACGTCACATGACGTTTGACATGCCTGCCCTATACCATTTCATACAGGTGGCGGTCCAGTCTTTTCTTTAAAACCTCCAGTGATGAAGCACCCACAACGTCTGAAGGCAAGCTGTTCCACTGGTTAATTGTCCTCACTGCTAGGACGTTTCTTCTTAGTTCCAGGTTGCTTCTCTTCTTGATTAGTTTCCATCTGTTGCTTCTTATTCTCCTTCAGGTGTTTTGGAGAATAGTTTGACTCCCTCTTCTTTGTGGCAGCCCCTGAGATTTTAGAACACTGCCATCACGTCCCCCCTAGTCCTTCTTTTCTCTAGACTAGCCATACCCAATTCCTGCAGGGAAGCAGCAGGAGGTGGAGGGGCAGCCGGGCGTCTGGAGCCGCCTCGGCTGCTCACTAGCAGCCCGACAAGGCAGTGGATCTCGCGCACCAGCTGCCCCTCCTGCTTCCTTGCATGGTTGATGGGTCGGAGCAGCAGCAGAAGCCACCCCCATCAGATCCGTCGAGTGATGGGCCCAGGCCGGGCAAGGGGTTCCTTCTGGCCATCCCGGGGCCGTCTCCACCCGCACCGATGGGGCTCCGTGGCCAGTTCGCCATTATGCAGGACAGCCAGCATGCTGTGGCTGCTGTTGGACACTGTCGGCCCCCATGCGCTCCATGGCCTCTGTGTGCGGAGGCCGATGGTGTCAGGCAGCAGATCTGGAAACGAAGCTATGCCGACCATCCTCGCGCTGGTGGTGGCGGTGGTGGCAGGGGAAGGCGGGTTTTGTGGCTCCCAGTGTTTTGTTTTCAGTGGGAAACGGGTCCAAGTGGCTCTTTGAGTGTTTTGGGTTTCCTACCCCTGGACTAGACATACCCAATTCCAGGAACCGTTCCTTATATGTTTTAGCCTCCAGTCCCCTGATCATCTTTGTTGCTCTTCTCTGTAATTCTTTACAACAGCTGCAGCCACCCCCCTGGCTCACATGATCAAAATTCACACCCTTGGCAACTGACTCGTATTTATGATGTTTGAGGTGTCTCGGGGTCATGTCTTTGCTACTTTCTCACAAGCAAAATCAACAGGGAAGCCCTGTTCGCCCAAGAACCACACTACTCATTTAACAACTGAAGTCATTCACTTAACAGGTGCGACAAGAAAGGTTGTGAAAATGCGGCCAAACTCACTTAGCCACTGTCTCTCTCTCTCAGCAACAGAAATCGGGGGCTCCATTGTGGTCCTAAGTTGAGGACCGCCTGTAAGGCAGCAAATACCCACCCGGAGCTGTGAGGATTCGTTCTTCAGCTTTCAACCTTGAGATCCCTACCTGCTTGAGCGCGTGATGCTGCTGAGCTATCTGTTCTGGCTTGCTCTGAATCGGGGAGGCGGCCTGTTGCAATATCCGCTGCTCGATCTCCTGCTCCTGTTGCAAGGCCTTCACAAAGGCGGCCTTCAGCCGGCTCGTGTGCTCGGCCTTGAGGGCCTTCTTCTGATTGGAGGACATGCACGTCTCGCACATGATGGAGCCGCTCTTCTCCTCCCTCCAGCGGCAGGTGAAGTCCGTCTTGCACTGGACGCAGGTGTAGGGCTCCTGCGAGGAGGGGCTGACGGAGACTTTACCTGCGGAAGAGACAGAAGGGTCAACCTGGCTTCTGATCGCGAGTTGGGGTTCTTTAAGATGGCCAGGAAAAAAGCAAGCAAGAAGTGAATGGAGAAAAGAATAAGAATGACGGTCCTCTTCTTTATCCCTGAAGCCAATTCCTCAACGCAATGGAGGGGAATTAAGCTTTAGAACAGGAGTCCTCAACCTTGGCAACTTTAGGACTTCCAACTCCTTGAAGTCCACAAGTCTTAAAGTTGCCACGATTGGAGATCCCTGCTTTAGAAGACTGCAAGACAGCTGGGAATGCAAGCAACAAAGACTTACCAAAAAAAAGGTTCTAAAACAGCAAGGAGAGCTGATCTCTACAGAATTAAGGGTTTCTTGGTGCCTCTTAAAACCCACCCACTGCAAGCCTAAAAAATACCCCACCAAAAATAACAGAGAAAGCCAACAGATTCAAATCACGCCCCCTCTTTAAGGCAAATGACCACCTAAAATTTCAGCTGGTGGGGACTAGCAGAAGAGCCTTTTCTACTAGCAGCCCCGGCTCTCCGAAATTCCTTGCCGCCAGAGAGGAGGCCGGCCCCCACCCTTCTGAATGGGTCTTCTGACCTGGCCCTGTCAGCTGGTGTGAGCCCCCAATGTAGACCCTTTAGGCTGGAAATGGGTGCAGGGACAGGGAAGGCACCACCCCCTCTCCCCATTTGAGCCTGGGTTTTTGAGTCTATGATTCCTCGGCAATTTGAATTGCTCTTATATTTATAATTGATTTTATATAGCTGTTTTTATTACTTATAAGCCACCAGAGATGCTCTGGATGGCCAGATGGGCGGCATATAAATGTAATAAATATATAAACATAGATCAGTTAATAAAATGGTGCCCCAAATCAAAGGTAGCTTGAGGTTTCTATTTGGAAGAATGCAGCATGATGGAGATTGATGTACAGTGGTACTTTGATACTCATTGTTAATTGGTTCCAGGAGCTGCGATAATTACCAAAAATGATGCATACCAAACAAAAATTGTCCCGCAAGGAATAATGTAGTGAGTCATAAGGCAGCTGACACCAACAAGTTCTAGCTTGTGCAAACGATGAGTACCATTGCGCATCAAAATGTGTTGAGTACCAAATTTGATGAGTTTCAAAGCAGTTGAGTATCAAGGTACCACTGTATCTCCTGGTGGGGATTATTCCATGTCTCTGGGCTCTGGAACAGCCTCATCCTAGGTACCTATCACTGTGACATCTTTTATTGAAAATTGAAGAATGGGCATGAACTGATTTAAACCCCAAAGCAGGTTCCCACGTACGCTAAATAGCAGTGGCTCTTGGACAGAGAAGAGCTTCTCTCTACTCTGCTACTTGGAGATGCCGTAGATCAGACATGTCAAACACAAGGCCTGGAGGCCGGATGCGGCCTGCAAAGTGGTTTCATGTGGCCCGCGAAGCCATCCTGGAAACAGTGAGGGAACAGCCCCCTCTGCCTTGGCCCTGGCCCAGGCCGGCCAGGAGCCAATGTACAATTTTGTGGTGGCCATCTATGCTGAAACGCATTCAGTCTTAGCTCCATAAGCGCCCCCCACCCCGCATGGCCTGAGAGGAACAGTGAGGCTCCTCCAGTGGACCATGCCTTGGCACTTGCCCCGGTCCCACCCCCTTCTGCCAGAGACCCTCAGATCTGTCCCACTCCTGCCCAGGCCCCCACAGGCACCCTTGACGCGAACGATGTAGAGCTGGCCACACCCACCCAGTAGGCCACACCCACTCCATCCACACCCACCCAGTAGGCTGCACCCACCCGGCCCCGAGGGCAACCACAATGCTGATGCGGCCCTCAATGAAATTGAGTTTGACACCCCTGCCGTAGATTGAACCTGTGATGGGTTGCATGCAAAAGCAGAAAAGAGGTGGCAAGATAAGACGTGAATTCATACCTTGTGTCAATAGTGTGGTGTAGTGGTTAGGGCAGTGGACTCAGATTAAGGAGCTCTAGATTCAAGCCCATTCTCGGCACGGTCACTCAGAGGGTGACTTTGAATTGGTTATTATCTGTCAGCCCAACCTACTTCACAGGGCTGTTATGGGGATATAATTGGAAAAGGTCCTATTATATATACTGCCCTAAACTCTTAAAAGGACAGGTGGGACATAAAGCCAACATACAACGTGAAAGCCAGTTTGGTGTAGTGGTGAAGGCGCTGACCTAGAAACCAGGACACTTGTGAGTTCTAGTCCCTTTGGCATGAAACCCAACAGGTTTCTCTCTCAACCCAACCCATCTCATTAGTTTTTGTGGGGAAAACAGGAGAGGAAGAGTATTAGGTATGTTCACCGCCTTGAGTTACTTATAAAGTAATGAAGGTGGGATAAAGATCTATTAAATAAACAAGCAGCCAATAATAAAACGATGCCAACCCATCTCATCCCTGCAGTTACATATGGGGATCACCCAGTTTGTATTAAGCAATGGAGTTGTAAATCACAGCTTTATTGAGAGCAGAAAGTTGAGGTACTCTTAAAACTGGCTTTCCCAGCCTAGAATCCCCAAGAGAAGCTGTTGGTCTACAAGTCCTAGCAAACCATTACTTAACATGACTAAAAAAAAAATCAAGCCTGATGGGAACCGAAGTCCAGCAACCACTGACAATTCCAAACAATGCAAATCTAAGCTTTGCTTCTCTCTTGGTGGCCTCCAATAGTGCCTAGGCCAGGGGTAGGCAACCGTGGCTCTTTTATGACTCGTGGACTACAACTCCCAGAATTCCTGAGCCTAGCCGGCTCAGGAATTCTGGGAGTTGAAGTCCACGAGTCATAAAAGAGCCAAGGTTGCCTACCCCTGGCCTAGGACTACAATCCCCAGAGTTCTAAGTTTGAAGGCTTCAACCTTTGGCCCCTTAACCGCCTCTCCTCACCTTGAGCTTCTAGTAGGTTCTGCACCACTTCCTCCAACCCAACTAGGTAGATGAACTCATTATTAGCCGCACTGGGCAGGAAGTTCATTTCAGGAGCCGGAGGTTTGGGTGGAGGAATTTCCAGCAAGGTTTTCTCCAGCTGTTTCCGCAATGCCAACTTGGCAGCTGCTTGCCGACTGGCAGGAGAGTCGTTTGAGTTGACGATGGAAGCAACGCTGGTGGCGATCGAAGAGTTCACCTGGCCGGATGTCCCAGCTGCACCTTTCAACGAAGTTGGGGAGGCCTGGGAAATGAAATGGGGGAGAAGAGTCTGTCTTATAACCGTCCCATCCCATCACGCGCTATTCCAGTGGTGGCGAACCTATGGCACGGGTGCCAGAGGCAGCACTCGGAGCCCTCTCTGTGGGCACACGTGCCGTTGCCCCAGCCTCGCCTCCCCCCAGTGACCCCCCTCCTCTCCAGCAGCCCCTCTGAAGGAGAGACGCCCCTGAGCGTGGCCCACGCGGAGCAGCGCAGCCAAGGACATGGCAGCCAGGCAGCATAGACAAGACTGCCCTCACAACCCATCATGCAGTTGATGCTGCAGGGCGCGGGCAGAGGGTGTGGCCGCCATAGCGCTGCTGGGCTGCCTGGGCGATCTGCGGCGGGCCCTCGAGGCGGTGAGTGGTCCTGTGGGCAGGTGGGGCGATGGATGGGGGGGCAGAGTGGGGGTGGGGCAGGGGGTGGGGCCATTTTTTGGGCACTCGGTCTCTAAAAGGTTCGCCATCACTGCGCTATTCAAAAGAAAGCGGAGACCTATGCATCAGGGTGGAGTCTTCTTAGTGGAGGAATCTGAAATTTCCTGCATAGAAGCATGAATGGAAAATCTGGCTATTTCAAAAGTCCTCGACTTACAACAGTTCATTTAGTGACCGTTCGAAATTACCACAGGATTGAAAAGTGACTTTGTTTTTCACACTTTTGACCGTTGCAGCATCCCCACGGTCACCTATGATCAAAATTCAGATGCTTGGGAACTGGCACATACTTATAACGGTTGCAGTGTCCTGGGGGGGCTCATGTGATCACCTTCTGTGACCTTCCTGGAAGCAAAGTCAATGGGGGAAGCCGGATTCACTTATCAACCGTGTTACTAACTTAACAACTTCAGTGATTCACTTAACAACCGTGGCAAGAAAAGTCATACAGTGGGGCAAAACTCACTTAACAACTGTCTTGCTTAGCAACAGAAAGGTCGCACTCAATTGTGGCCGTTAAGTCAAAGACTACCAGGATCTGCGTATGCTGCCTCCATATTTTTCATTGCTCCCAGGGCACTCCTAGACTGGGTAGGGCCACAAATTTCAGCCCTCTCTTTGTGGGGCAAAATGTGTATCTTACCTCTAGCAGAAGGTTAGGACAATGAATGTTTTCAGTGAAGTGGAAGGTTTTGCCCCTACTCTACCCCCATGGCTGGCAGGTTTGCAGGCCAAGGAATATGGACAGCCATTTGTCCGAAATGGTATAGGGCTTCCTGTCTGAGCAGGGGGTTGGACTAGATGACCTCCAAGGTCCCTTCCAACATCATCATCATTATTACTATTATTACTTTAATATTATTGTTTGTTGTTGTTGTTGTTGTTGTTGTTGTTATTATTATTATTATTATTATTATTAGACCAGGGGTCTTCAAAATTGGCCCTTTTATGACTTGTGGACTTCCAACTCCCAGGCACAAGTCATAAAAGGCACAAGTCATAAAAGGGCGAAGTTTGAAGACCCCTGTCTTAGACGGTGCCAGCCTTCACTGGGAATTTGGCTGAAGTTCAAGCCTGGTGACTTGCTACCTGCTTATCCATTTTTAGCTAGCGGGATGTAAAAAAAAAAAAAAAAAGCCAGTTTGGTCTAACACCAGGCTAGAATCTGGGAGACAATGAGTTCTAGTCCTGCCTTAGGCCTGAAAGCCAGCTAGGTCCCTTTGGGCCAGTCGCTCTCTCTCAGCCCAACTCATCCCATAGAGTTGTTGCGAGGATGGAGGTCACGTTGGATATTTTCATCATCTTGAGTTGGTGAGTTACACCCTCTTGGAACAATAATCAAGGTGAGGAGGGGACACAAACTAAAAAAATAAGAAATGGGCCAAATTTGAACCATGGATTGTAGTCTGATAACACCCGGCTTAAAAGCACTGGTTTTACTCATAAAACTGCTAGAAATACAAGTTACTTCTTCAAGGTCTAAATGTTTGATAGCCGGTCCTGGACTGTCTATTCCAGGGGTAGGCAACCTTGGCTCTTTTATGACTCGTGGACTTCAACTCCCAGAATTCCTGAGCCAGCATGGCTCAGCTTGGAAACTTGTCCCTTTCCCCTCAGCATGGCTGGCTCAGGAATTCTGGGAGTTGAAGTCCATGAGTCATAAAAGAGCCAGGGTTGCCTACCCCTGGTCTATTCTGATCAACGAAAGTGTCAGAACTGCCTCTTCTCAGATCCTAGGAAAGAAAAACCCTTCACTCCATAGATATAGAGACACGGTACTTTTACTAGGAAACAATTAACTGCAGTCACTTCTTTCCTCATAAAAGTACCTTTTCTCTAAATCTATGAAGGAGTTCCCCCCCCCCCAGGAGTAGAGGCAGCCCTGACTGGCTTCACAAAATTCTTGAAATT